CTTCCTCATCACAGATCTCAGTTTTTTTTCTCCTTAATCTACTTCCATGAATATGACTGCTTTTCTTTCCTACTTTGCCTCAATAATATTATTTTCTTCCCTTTTTCTGGGTATTTTAGGCATTTTGGAAGACAGTAGAGGTATGTCCTCCCTCTTGCCCCATCCATAAGGCACCACAGAATTAAGGTGGCCTACAATATTGCATGGTAACTCTCTTCATAGGCTGTCACTTTTTCCTCTTAATCCGTTGGTCTTTGCCAGGAAGTTACACTTCAGTGTTCTCAGTGACTGACCTTTGTAAAGAACACTGGTGGAGAAGATAAGGCTGTTCAAACCTCGCTGTCCAAAGTCAAGGCCTAAGCCTGCACCCAGGCGCAGCGCTGTTGCGGCCCTGGGGAGGACGGGGGTCCCGCGCGGTCCCGGCCGGCCGGGAGCTGACCAGGGTGCTGCAGGCGGGCCCTCCCCGCGGCGCAGGGCTCTATCCTGGCCTCTCCACACACCCCGGCGCTCTTTCCAGGGACACTAGTCCAAGGGAAAACACCATCCTTTTCGTTTTAAAAGTGGTTTTCTCTTTTTAGAACCCTAGACCGTGAGCTGGCACTATACACATGCACAAGGGAAACAGGGAACAACAGGAAGAGCAATTCTCTTTTTTAATGTTAGGCCTGTGTTTTTCTTACTCACTTTATGTACCACACACATGCCCAAAATTAAATTCTTGAATGAGTTTTACATCACTTCTTTGAAAAACATGATCAATACTTTCTCTGTTCCACCGTTGAATAATTCTTAGACAGGTATTGTCTATAATTAATACAAGTGATCATGGTTTAAACACAGCTGGCAAGTCAGTACCACTCAGTGGGTTGAGATAAGAACAGTTTAATAACTAAAACAATGTACAATATTGGACCACTACTACTCACAGTGATGAGGTAAGGAACAAGGAGAGAAATATAAAACTTAAAGGGGAAAGGAAAAAAGAACCGATAAACAAGAGTGACGAACAATACAATTGCTCACCACCTGCTGACCAATACCCAGTCTGACCCAAGCAGCATTCAGTCCCTTCCAAGTAACTCCCCCGAGTTTACATACTGGGCATGACATGCTGTGGTATGGAATACCTCTTTAACTAGTTTGGATCAGGTGTCCTGTCTCTGCTGCCTACCAGTATCTTGTGCCCCTCCTTATCTGCAGAACATGAGAGACTGAAGAGTCCTTGACTTAGTATAAACATTACTCAGCAATAACTAAAACATCAGTGTGTTATCAATATTATTCTCATACTAAATCTGAAACACAGCACTGTGCCAGCTACTAGGAAGAAAAATAACTCTGTCCCAGCCAAAACCAGGACACAAGTGAAAAAAATGCAAATATGCTAACTGTGGTCCAGACTCCAGGAAGTCTGTGGGACACCTGAAAAAGCACAAAAATAAATAAAAAGTCACCATGCCTGCAATGTTGCTACCCAGAGATGTTTCTCATAGTGTTGTACCATAGCTTAGAAAATCAACTATTGATGCAATGGGGGCTGGGATCACAGTTCTCTTCCAAAGCCATGTTCCATTGACTGTGACCTACACTGGAGTACAGCAAGCTCTGTACGGTTCTAGAAGACACTACTCACTGTGCAGATGATGGGCATTAATCCTGGCCCTAAGACCATGACTTAGCATCTTTAATATTAATCCCTGCTTGCACATGGCAGAGATGTCCTCTCTTTTAAGCACTTGTAACTAAAAATATCCCCAAACCTTTTTGTTCCATTTTTGGTATTCTCATATTGCAGAACATGCTTCTATACTCAAAAGGTGTTTAAACATAAAAATAAAAATTAAATAAAAATTAAAAATATCTGAATTCATATTCCTCTGATACTTAAGACAAATTGTTACTTATGCACCTCATTAGAAGCAGTGTTTTAGATTTGCTATTTCCAGCATCTGAATTCACAGGGGCATGGTATTTTTTTATCACTGTTTATCCAATATGTTTTTCAGTAGCTCATGCTTCATACTGCTGCTACTGGGAGCTTGGCTGATGCAAACTGCAAGTTGCATAGAATTTGCATTTTGACATTTTTTTAGCTTTACATTGCTACAACAACCTGTGGGAGACAACCCCCCAACTATCTTCCATTTCCCTTTGAAACACAACTCAAAAATTACCTTAAATACTTTATTTTCCAGTTAATTGCTATAATGGCCACAACCATTTCCTGAATAAGGCATTTGATTTGCAAACTTAGAAGCCACAAAGGAAGTTGTTCACTAAAAGCTAGTTATTTGTCTACTGAATCATGATGTGCTTAGAGAACCCCATCACTGGGGGACAAGTTTTTCTTGCTGATTGTTGTCTTAATTATTTTACATGATTGATGATAAACATTCCAGTTTATAGCCACAAATAATGAAAATCATTATGGGAGGAAAAAGCGGGTTAATCATTATCAAAGCCCTCAAAAAAAAAAAAAAAAAAAAAAAAAAAAAAAAAAAAATGGTCAATGACAGTCTGGTTTTAAAGCAGTGAGAGAAGTCAAGAGTCTTGCTACTTCAGCTTAACCCTGTAGTAGAAGCAGCTTTGGTGTTCAGTATAAAATGAAGTGGCCCTTCCTTCTCCTGCTCTTCAGGTCTGGCATTTGGCCAAGCTGAACACACAGTGACAAGGGCCTGTGAGGGGTATTAACTGAAATGCCATGGGTTTCATACCATGAGCAGGTATTTACAAGGTTTTCAAAGGTTAATTGAAAACAGCAGAAGTTGTACTGTCCTAAGCAATTAAGACATCTTTTAACCCCAACTCCAAATGAAATGTTTGATCAGAGGCATTTTAATTTTGTTCTAGTGTTCACAAACAGCAGGTGACAGAGCCTTTTACATGAAGGTGTGCTACTGCTGTCTCCTTGATTCACATCCGAAGTGTCTATAATGGATAGATGTCGCAATAAGGTCATTGCTTGCTTCTCTTCATTTGAAGGCACATGAACAGTGTGTTCAAGAGAACCTATCTGATCACCTCATAGAATACAAGTCCAACAAGGGTGAAGTGATGCAGGCCTAACAAGTACAGGGAAGAAGGCAAACATGACAGTTATTCACATGCTACGATCAGCTCAGAAGGTAATAAAAATGCCTATCTGAAACACTACCGTGCTCATCAATTTTCGTAATTTCCAAAGCACCCCAAATCAAAGGTTTATTTAGTTGTACATTTCTGTTTTATTTTAATTTTGGTATTCTTGAGACCTTCATCCTTAAGCTAAATCCTGTGTGCAAGACCTTAAATACTTAGCCATACAAAGGAGGAACTCAGTCAAGAGCTTGAGCCTCCCAAACAGGAATTCAAGATGTGACATCTTGCCACAAATTAAGCTTCTATGTGGATTTCTGCTTGCTGGCTGCTTCGTAACAGCTACCAGAATATAGCCATGTGTCATGCAGAAATAAATAGACGTGTCAACCATTCATCATGCATCACCTAAAAGGATATACGCATCTGAATTGCTGTTTTGTACCACATTCTCTCCACTACAATTAACAGGTGCCAATTGAACCACGCATGGAATTATTATAGTTACAAAGGCACTTGCAATGTTTTGCTTGTACTGCATTTTTTTCCAGGACACAATAAGGAATTCCCAAGTAGACAGCAAATATGTTTTTCTTGGAAAATGCAGCATCTAAATGAAAAGCAAATGAGAAAACAAAGACATTTTCCATCAGCTTACACGGGGGGGGGGGGGGGGGAGGAAAAAAGAGGAGTTTGCAAGCAAAAGAATTATTGTCATTCTACCTGTATAAGTGTTACTTTAAGTAAGTTTTCTCCTCCAGCTTTGCCTTTTCTGCAGTCTCTCAC